TGCACCACTCCAGCCATTCACTTTTCCAAAAAGGGAAAACTGATTTCAATCATAAGCAAAGTCAAGATCAAGACATTAAGCACAAACAACTAAATTGATGAAGTATATTTACATACTTACCTTTAGGACATAAATTTCCTCTTGAATCTTGTCACGTAAATTGTTGTTGCCACGTACGTCCAATCTCTAATATTATTCCAAAATTTATAATAGGAATGCCTCCATCAATGTTTGAGGAATAGAGTACCAACAACTACCTAGAATCAAGTAATGAAATCAAATGCTATGCAGATATAGAAATGTCGATTTATAAATCTATCATCTTCTTCAACAACATTTACCTTGCCATGATTAGCCACAGAAGGATCACAAAGACACTCCGCCAATGCCTCCATCGTGATGTTACTACTTTATCCCACCAAGTAATCACATAGTCGGTGAGCTCAAGGACTGCGATCATCACTTTCTTCTCCTCCGAGTAATTTTGGTATTCAAAAATCAATTCTACCCTTTTCTCCCACTCTAGGTAAGCCTCCAGATCACTCATTCCCTTAAATGGTGGAATGTACATTTTTATGTTGTTCATGCCTCCATCCATTTCATCTCCAACATTATTTCTACCCTGTCTCTCAAACCTATCGCCTCTATCCCTCATTCTTCTCATTTCAACCTTCATTAATGCATCCTCATCCAGATCACTACCGCATCTATACTCATTATGCATTTCCATTCTAGGTTCTTGTCTACCCTGTTTCCTTACATTAGGTACTTCTATATGCTGCCCCCTATAAAGATTAGTAACCGTTGTGTCTAGCCTTTCCATCCAAGCCTCTTATATATCCATCCTATCTCCCATAACCACTAACAGTTTCTCAAACCACTACATGACATCGTCAGACATGTTGATTTGATTGTCTTTCTTACTTGAGTTTGATCCTTCCCTGTTAGACATCTTAAATCTGAAATATTTCAGCCTCACCTATATTTCATTCGTGTGTCACTCAATTTGTTTTGCTTTTACCCTCTACCGATCTCACCACTCAGCATTTTCCCAGTCAATGCTTCCAATCAAATGCTTCAAGAACAAATTCTAACTCAATCCCGAATAATTCTTGGGGAATCCAACTGGATGTGAGTGAGACTTTATGAATTGATAAACACAAAGAATTTGATCGCAAATTTTGAATAGGACAAGACGGAAGCAAATTTGATTCAGCAAAAAATTGTAGAATGCTGACAATCTCTAAAGTAATTCAACCAATAATAACTTTTTTTTAAATTTCATTTTTTTGACCTTTTCTTTACTCTTTTGATAAAAAAAATTTGACTATGACACCAGTAAAACAAATTGAAGTTGATTTGGTTGCTAAATTAGCCCAAAAACAACATTTTGATTTTTTTTTGGTATTTTTACGAATCAAAGACTCAAAAGACAATGAGAAACACGAAGAACAATAAAAAAAAAAACAAAGACTTAACAGAACTAAAAAGGGACATGACCTTGATTTTGGAGCCCAAGCTCTAATATCAACTGACGTGAATCCGCGTAGCAACGGTGGCTATGAAATCCACAACTAGATTGAAATCGATTCCCAAACTGCCAAAGATTCATGGTTTTGGATTTAATCCAAAAACTATGAACCAAGCAACCAATAAAAATAGTATTTATCAGCCTCTTAATCACACAATGATTGAACCTCACCTGGATTTGTAAATGCCACAAGATTGTTAATTTTGATAAGTTCGAATTGTTCAATTAAGAACAAGAAAAGTGAAAGCAAACAGTCCCTTGTTTAAAATTCTCTCAAAATATCAAAGTCCATTAGAATGAAAAATAAAATATCCTATTTATACTATACCCTAGCATAAATTTAAAACGGAAAATAAAGATTACAAAGATTGCTCAAAATTGGAATCCTAACGTAAATAGGTAACTTGCGAAAAAAGGAAACTCTTGCCTCGAACTTACTCTATATGATCGCACAATGTAACTCTATACGGTCGCATAAAAGTTACATTGGCCCCCAGTGAATTCTTTGCACTCCACCATGCGGTAGCATGGTTTGGGACACTATGTGACCGCATAGTTGGCGGTTCCAATTTCAGCCTCTTGAACCAACTTGCTCCTAATTATTTTGGCATTCAACCTCAACATCAAACTTAGACTTTGGCTTGGCCAACAGTTTGTACTCCATAGCTCGAACAAGTAATTGGTCGGCTTATTAACTCTATTTGGCCTCGATTGTGCCCTTGGCTTCCCGTCAACATACTTCGAACACTTACTAGCTTGATGACTTTCCCGGATCACATCATTAACATTGAATTTCTTCAATGTCTTCAAGTGCACACCATTTTGTTGCAAAGAGTATTCTAGAAAGATGAAACACTAGTTACTTTTATATCAAGGAATCTCTATTTGCATGGTATTAATACATTAGAATAATGCTACAATTAAATGCCTGCATGGATGCTCAGGCAAGTGGAAATTGCATTGTTCGATTTTTGTCATTTATGTTATTGTAGTATATTTTTATTCAAACAACAAATTCGTATGTATTATTTCCAATTTGATCTTCTTTGCTATTTACATGCTTTCCTCTCTGCTCTTTCTGTAGACTGGCAAAAACAAAACGGCTTGGGGAAGCATTAACTATCACCTTCAGAGGCTTAACAGGGGAAGAAAATAGAGAATCGTGCATGTCAAAAACAAATTTGCTGAGATTGTGCTAATTTTGCTATTTTCGTTTGAAACCATCTAATGAAAAGCTTTGGTGAGATTTGCTCAATGGTCTTTACTTCTTTTCGTCCTCTTAGCTTAAGAAGTTCGTGTATTTGCAGAAAACTCGTTTCCATAAGTCATTGAATGCTTTGGTTATGATTATTTTGTTTCTGTTAAATGCTAGTTAGAATTGATACTGCTGCTTACACTTTACCGATGCTTTCTTGCCATTTTTCAACGCAAGGAAGCCTATGTCCGATGATGAAATCACTTTTATTGTTGCATCTGCAATTTCAAAACGGTTTAGAAAGAACCCAATTGTACATTATTTGCTCGTCATTAGCTGCTAAAGGTACCTGTTTCAGTAGACACGATAACCGGTCACGTGCTAAGGCAAATTTTGTGCATCCAAATCTCAGTATTACTGGATTTTAATTTTGTAAAGATAAACATTGCATTCTTAATCCCATTCTTTTATTAATTTAGAAATAATATATCTGATAATGATGGTGAAATGGTATAAAAAATGACTTACTTGCACTTCATATTTTATATTAACAAAAAACACCCATTTCAAATCACGGCAACATAATATTTGGACAGAAATGATCAGAAGTAACCAAATATTTTATTTAGCTCATGTTTGGTGCAACTAAAAATCAGTTTTTTTAGTAGATTCGAATAATACCTTATTTGGGAGTGATTTTTTCCTCTAAAAAATTGACTTTTGACTGTTATATTTGACTTCTTCTCTCACAGGTGGATCCCACTTTTCTCCTAACGATTAAAAAATCAATTCTTAAAATAACTCCCAAACAGCCTCTAAACTCAACCCCAGACAAGTTAACCTAAATTCCTAATCTTCGCTTACAGCCTCGCTCTCAATCTCTCAGTCTCACTTGTCACTCACCGTCGCCATAGCCGACGCCACCTCTCCGATGGTCCACGGTGCTCTCAATCTCTCAGTCTTCTCTCACAGCCTTGCTCTCAACAAATAATTAGAAATATTTAGTGCATCTCTCTCACTCTCAATCTGTCACGCACTTGCCGGCGCCGCCTCTCCAGTAGTGCATGGTGAAAGCCCAAAGGTCGCCACCACCGGTATTTCTAATTAATTGTTGGTTTTGTACAAAAGGTACCGTAAGGCTCTTCAATTGTTTGAGATTTTGGCATGCGAGGATGATAATGATGTTAACTGGAGTACTTATGATTCTTTGGTTAGTGCTTGCATTGGTTTGAAATCAATTAGAGGTGTCAAAAGGGTGTTTAATTGTATGCTAAATTCTGGGTTTGAGCCAGATTTGTATATAAGAAACAGGGTGCTGTTGATGCACGTGAAATGCGGGATGATGATCGATGCACATAGGTTGTTTGACACTATGCCTGAAAGAAACTTGGTTTCTTGGAATATCATAATTTGGGGGGCTTGTGGATGTTGGAGATTATGCAGAGGCATTTAGTAGGGATTACAAGGTGAAACCTAGAGCAATGCACTATACTTGTACGATTGAATTATTAGGCCGAGAAGGGCTTCTGGATGAAGCTTTTGCATTGATAACAGATGCTCCATTCAGGCCTACTATAAACATGTGGGCTGCTTTACTTACAGCTTGTAGGATTCACAAGAATTTTTTGCTTGGGAAATTTGCTGCTGAGAAACTTTATGGGATGGGACCAGAAAAGCTATCTAATTATGTTGTACTTTTGAATATTTATACGAATGCTGAAGTCGTGAAAACCTTGGAGAGAAAACGGCAGTTAGTTAGTGTTTACCTCGTGTATATCATATTCACTTGATGATAGTAATAAATACACAATCAAAATTTACTTTGCTAAATATGCAGTAGTAACATAAAAAAATGAATCAGTTTTGTCTCTCCATGCTGATTGTAAGTTTTTTGAGACACCAAAAGCTCATTATGTCCCACAACTTTAATATCGACATTAGCAAATGCTTGCATATTCAACATTGAATTTTCTACCAACTTTTAAGCTGACATAATATCGTAATATATTTTACAGTTTCATAAGGTTAGATTTAACCATTGTCTTACTGGTGCATGTTTTAGTTCTTTTGTAATTGAAAACTGAATGTTTAGCATATAGCCTTAAGTTTGCAGTTTTTCTGTATTATCTCAGTCTTGGCCGAAATTGTCTGTCAATTCAGCTCGCAATTATATTGGATCAAAGCACTATGCTACTAGGACTATCTACTATCTAGTGCTGGCGAAGTTGAAAAAAATGTGTTTTTGAGAATTCAGGTGCTGACCCAAGAAATATTTACGCGCAGGCAAGTATTGCCACTTCTTTATGCTGGGTAATAATTTTTGTGATCTTTTTAACTTGGCAGCAAAATGTTGAGAGTTAGAAACTCTGATTCTACCTTCAAGAGCAATAAAATTGTAGAAAGAAAATGGACATAAAAACACTATTAAACCCAGAAAAAGAGTTAATTACATTTAAATGAACCAGACATATTACTTATACAATTTTGAGAAATAGTCTGACTTCTAGATATTTTATAGGCTGGCTTTTGGATATCTCCATCCTGTATGCCTCCTGTTGGTGCAAATTTAAACACCTTGATGATCATCTTGTGGACATTAGCTTTAAGGTGAGCATAACCCAATTTTCTTTTTATTTAATTTGTATTTTTGGGATAAACTATCATATCATATTCACTTGAATTTTAAAACCATCACCATGTTTTCTCCGTCGATTCTGAGATGATAAATGTATTGACTATTGATTTAAGTTTGTTCATTGAATTATTTAGTTGATCTTCAGTCATTTTTCCCAGTAAGACATCTCTTTTACCCATAACCTGTATTTGTTCTAGCCTGCTTAGTTAAATTCATGTCCATATGGAGTTTTGGCATGCATTTGGCTTCAGTTGGTTAGTTGGATAGTAAAATTTTGAGAATTAGCATTCATTAGTCTCATTGGTAAATTAACTATGCTTAGAAGAAAGGTTCTGGGACCGTTGTAACATCTAATTAGGCGTTTCTAGAAGCGATGTGGTTTATGAGTTTTCTTTTTCAGGTTCATGTATTGCCAATGGTTCTTACTTATTTTACTTATTTTTTTTTTTTTGGGAAAATGTATTGGATTTTTAGGTGTTTTAGAATTTTGGATCTGAATTTTGTACGAATATTGTTACATTTTAGAGTTCAATTAATAATGATTATTGGAGTTATTTGATGTAATTATTTTCTATTATGTTTCGTGATCGATATATGTGAATCACTCTACAAAAAAAAAAAAAAAAACCGACGGCAACTTTTGTTAAACGTTGCAAAAGAGAGGTTACTGCAACGTTTTCAAAAACTATTCCCTCAACGGCAGCATCAACCTTCGCAACATACGCTAAAACGTTGTTGCCAAAGGTCTTTTGCAACGTTTTTTGGCTATTTCAAAAACCTTTTTTTCGTGCAGTGAATTATTGTCAACTTCTTTTTCACATAATTTTCTTTCATGGTAATTATACCTTTTCTTTTCTCCTTTTACTTTCAATTAGATAAATGTACATCAATTTTGTTCTATTGAGTAACTAGGCTTTAATTTGATTCCAATCGAATAAATTAAATTCATGTCTCTAAGACTGATTGAAAATGATAAGCAACAGTAAAAAAATGATGATATTCATTTATTTTCCTAAAGGTGTTCTTATTCCACATTAAGAAATAATATTTATGTGCGATGACCATCATTTATTGACTGTCATGTTATCAATTTCTCTAGGTGGGACTGGACAAAATTACCTTGATTAAAATCAAATCAAAATTGTTACATGATTGAAACCAAATCGGAGTTTATTCGTGAGATTGAAATAAAACTAACGTATAATTACTCAATTTCATAAAATTGAAGCACAGATGTTTGAACAACACCAAGTAAGAGTATAATTATCCAGAATGAATTTTTTTCTGCAAGTAGTAACTTCCTCGCTAGGAATTTGAGGATCTTCGTTGCCCAATAACACACGATGCAATCCACTGTGTATGATCTAGCTCTAGTGATGGAGCTAGTTATTTTTAGAATGGGCTCAAAAAGTAGGTTACAATTTTTTTTCCAAAATATCTTTTTTCTCTTGAACGCTCGTTTAACCAAAATCTTGCTCTTCACTCGGAAATGAAGTTTTTTGTTGATAACCTTCCATAATTGTTTGACATGGAAATTCAACAAATTAATGAATGCTAATATATATCAAATAATAACTCCCACCATGAAAATATAATTAATTTCAGCAGACAAATGCTAAGGTCCCAGCACATTCCATTAAATCACATTAGTAAACAACCAATTTCCTAAAAACAAAAACTAACAAAATTCCAATTTCATAAAATCCAAAACCCATGTGTTAGGACTTATTGCTTACCTTAAAAGTGAAATGAATGTCTAAACTTGACATGACACGAATGTCTTCAATAGAAATGCAATTTAATGAATTAACATCTAAATAGAGAATTAATTGAAAACGTAATAATGCATGAAAGTTCATAAATTTCTGTGGAGGTCACGTAAATTTGCCATTGTCTAGCTCTAATGATGAGTCGTTGGAAAGTAGATATTCACTTCTATCTCCGAACATGACTTTGAAAATGAGTGTATATTAGCTTAATTCATTTGATGGTGCTAAATTGGTTAAACATTATATGTAACCATACACTTTAAGATCTACGATTTTTATTTATTCTTTTATCACACACTTCTTGAACCTCACAACATAACATTATTTAACTAATATGGAACTTTCATGAAATGTATGTTTTCTCCAAGTCCAGTCTTTTTAAATAATGGAAAAATAGAGTCTATCAAACTTGGCTCTAATACTAATATCTTAAACATGTTCAACGGTGTCAAATTAGATTAATGATCTATAAATCCAAAATCTCACGGTAGTCTTACAATATGCATGACTTAAAATGTGTAGCTATGTCTCGAACAACCAAATGTATCTACAACTCAATAACAATAATCTGGGAATATAGATGAGTGATAAATAGATCCTACGAAATCATCTTGTGCTGAGTATTGGAGTCTTATTTATAAGTTGGCAGAGAGACTTACTAAGGTTTTGTTTGACGAAACGATTTTGATAGAAGTTGATGAAATGTGTAGATCTCATGAAATGTATAGTTAAAATTAATTGTTTACTTTGACCTCGACTTTTTAGTAATTTTTTTAAGCTATCCAAATAAAATATTAAATCCTATTCCAACTCCCTCGTAGATGAATCCAGTCTGATCTTAGTTATATCATGTAATCCAAATCTTAAATAATAAGATTTATTTAATATGGGTATTGCTATTTCGATCCATGCTTTTTATAAGTACATCCCACGCTAAGTTAGTCCCTACGGTTGCTAAGAAAGTATCAACCGTATCAATCAGCCCATAAAAAAAATAATTATAATTGAATTACAAACAATAATCGTTTCTGGCATTTATGATTGGCAAACTCATCATTATATCCGAGAGTACTTTTTTTTTTTTTGGGGCCCAAAGAAGCCAATTTTATCATTAAAGCAATCATACAAATGATAACTTTGCTGGATCATCCATAGGTGGATGTCAAATTTCTATATGAGTAAGCTTAGAATAGTATTAAAACTTAAAAATAAAAAATGCCATAAAACAAAAAACAAAAGTCAAAAGACAAATTCCAGTTTCCCAAATCCCAATGTTCCCCCCATTTGGTCCCCCTTCTCCGTTCTTCTCCAGCAACAAGGTGCTACCCGTCGTGTCACTGGACAAAATCAACACATGTTCTTCCTCCTCAAACACCCACCCCACACCCACAAAAAACCAAAACCCACCACCCTACAGCCACATCCAAACACAACTTAAAATCATCAGCCACCAGCCATCATTTGATTTTGAAAAAAATGGAAAAGAAAAATGAGAAAATGAAGAAGAACAACAAAAGAACTGCTGGGGTTTGTTAGTAAAACTCAGAATTGAACAGTAGCCGGCTGCCAATTATAATTTGTCGTCCGACATAATATAATTTTGATGATTTGGGTAGAATTGAAGTAATTGATTCAACAAATGGGTGTGGATTTCATTATTACTTATGTCTATTTAAGTAAATTTATATATGACTTAAAATATAGTAAAATTTTATTTTTAAAAGTGGATATAAATAGAGCTACCCTTTAATATTCCTATATCTCACGCCACAATCTTGTTAGCTAACAAATGCTGCTAGAATTGAGAAATTTATGGTCAAAGTGCAACCGTTCTTAACTCTTATCATTATAGGTAATATATCTAGCAAAGTATCTAATATCCAATTTAAATATTTGTACCAAGTTAAAAAAAGGAAACCACTTCTAAAAGAGGTTATATATGAGTAATAAATCGTTTACAAATTAAAAAAGTGAGTAATGTAAATAACATTTGTTAAAGTTGCAAATTAATCAATTGAATTACTTGATCACAATTAGAACTTAATTTTACTTCTACAATTTAAATAAATATTTTACAACAAAGTGGCTGGTAACTCACAAACTGATTTTATTTCTGCAAATATTAAGAAAATATGACAGTGTTTTCAATTAGATTAAAAAACGGCATTAGTCACAACCAGTGCACCACTCCAGCCATTCACTTTTCCAAAAAGGGAAAACTGATTTCAATCATAAGCAAAGTCAAGATCAAGACATTAAGCACAAACAACTAAATTGACGAAGTATATTTACATACTTACCTTTAGGACATAAATTTCCTCTTGAATCTTGTCACGTAAATTGTTGTTGCCACGTACGTCCAATCTCTAATATTATTCCAAAATTTATAATAGGAATGCCTCCATCAACGTTTGAGGAATAGAGTACCAACAACCACACAGGATCAAGTAATGAAATCAAATGCTATGCAGATATAGAAATGTCGATTTATAAATCTATCATCTTCTTCAACAACATTTACCTTGCCATGATTAGTCACAGAAGGATCACAAAGACACTCCGCCAATGCCTCCATCGTGATGTTACTACTTTATCCCACCAAGTAATCACATATTCGGTGAGCTCAAGGACTGCGATCATTACTTTCTTCTCTTCTGAGTAATTTTGGTATTCAAAAATCAATTCTACCCTTTTCTCCCACTCTAGGTAAGCCTCCAGATCACTCATTCCCTTAAATGGTGGAATGCACATTTTTATGTTGTTCATGCCTCCATTCACTTCATCTCCAACATTATTTCTACCCTGTCTTTCAACCCTATCGCCTCTATCCCTCATTCTTCTCATTTCAACCTTCATTAATGCATCCTCATCCAGATCACTACCGCATCTATACTCATTATGCATTTCCATTCTAGGTTCTTGTCTACCCTGTTTCCTTACATTAGGTACTTCTATACGCTGCCCCCTATAAAGATTAGTAACCGTCGTGTCTAGCCTTTCCATCCAAGCCTCTTATCTATCCATCCTATCTCCCATAACCACTAACAGTTTCTCAAACTGCTACATGACATCGTCAGACATGTTGATTTGATTGTCGTTCTTACTTGAGTTTGATCCTTCCCTGTTAGACATTTTAAATCTGAAATATTTCTGCCTCACCTGTATTTCATTCGTGTGTCACTCAATTTGTTTGGCTTTTACCCTCTACTGATCTCACCACTCAGCATTTTCCCAGTCAATGCTTCCAATCAAATGCTTCAAGAACAAATTCTAACTCAATCCCGAATAATTCTTGTGGAGTCCAATTGGATGTGAGTAAGACTTTATGAACTGATAAACACAAAGAATTTGATCGCAAATTTTGAATAGGACAAGACGGAAGCAAATTTGATTCAGCAAAAAATTGTAGAATGCTGACAATCTCCAAAGTAATTCAACCAATAATAATTTTTTTTTTTAAATTTCATTTTTTTGTCCTTTTCTTTACTCTTTTGATAAAAAAAAATTGACTATGGCACCAGTAATACAAATTGAAGTTGATTTGGTTGCTAAATTAGCCCAAAAACAACATTTGATTTTTTTTTTTTTTTTGGTATTTTTACGAATCAAAGACTCAAAAGACAATGAGAAACACGAAGAACACAAAGAACAATAAAAAAAAAAACAAAGACTTAACAGAACTAAAAAGGGACATGACCTTGATTTTGGAGCCCAAGCTCTAATATCAACTAACGTGAACCCGTGTAGCAACAGTGGCTATGAAACCCACAACTAGATTGAAATCGATTCC